ACCCCACTCCTCATCTACTTCAACTCGCTTCCTTCTGTCAAAACTCAAATAAGCTGGTTCGTAATTTCAAAATACGAACCGTTTAGTTCACAAAAGAATAGTTTGGAATTTTAATTTCGAAACCCATTTGTTAATGGTCTCGGATCAAATTTGAAAATATGAACTTATGACATTTTAGAAAAATGGGTCATGCGTATAAATTATAACATACGGAGGGATAGATGTTTATTTTTGAGAAAATAAAAAATATTTCCATCTAATAACCACAAATGACCATAGAGATTCTATTTTATGGTATGAGAGATCTAGCTGTTGAAATTTTCATTTTAATGTTAGCCCTTCGAAAGAGTCACCAGAGATGACCAAAGACATTCTATTTATGCAAAATATTTGTCTATTATCTAATTCGTAACATCAAGAGTGGAACCATTTTGGCATCTTGGAATTTCAAGTAGTTTTATCATCATTCACTTTCATGTTCGAAAGATTAAGTTCCTACTTCCCTTTAAGAACTTAAACTTTTATGTTTTAACAAAAAAATAAAAACTTTGTTGAAATATATCTTTCAAAAAGAAATAAAAGTTGGTGCACGCTAAACACATAACTTTTACCAAGTTGGAAAATTTTCTTTATGAAATAAATCTTTCAGCCAAATAATTGTACATTCAGTTCAACAGAGAACTCTCTCAGAAGAGAGAGTTTTTTATTTTAAATGTAGAAAATATGTTTTATTTGTAAGGTCTGCACATGGAAAAGCAATTTCATACCATAACTGGTATGGACGGATTTCCCATACATATACATAGGTGGGCCAGGTATGAAACTGATTCCCCATACTTGTACATTGGCGGGCCATGGGATGCTATTTGGGAAAAGAACTAGGGATGGCAATGGGCCCAACGGCTTGGCCCGACCTAGCTCCATCGGTCCAGCCCTAAAAAACTAGTGCCCTGGACACCAAATGTGCCCCAAGACCAGACCGGGGTTGAGCCACCACAGCCCAAGGACTGGGCCTAGCCTAGGTCAGGATCAACCCGACTTGGCCTGGTCAGGCCTTGGGCCAAGGCCTCTTTCACCCAGCCCAGCCCAAGCTGGCCCTGGGCTGTCCTTATTGGGACTAGGGCCAGGGCTGCTCCTGCCTAGGCCTGGCCAGTTGCCAGCCTAAAAAGAACTTTCCCATGGACGATTAGCCTATGTACCAGCCCAACACGAGAAACTAGTGGTCTGCCAAAAATCTCTACTACAAGAGATTTCCCACTAACCAAACATGCCCTTGAGTTTTGAAGGATTTTTGTTTTTTTTTTTTTCTTTTGAGAATGACCATTTTTGTTTATTTACAATTAACTATCACCACAACATTAAGGGTGGCAACTGGCCATGCCATCATTAGCCTTGGTTTGCCCTTATCACCATGGGCCAGGCTCAAGCTCGGCTCTAGTCCTGTTAGGACCAGTTTAGGCCAAAAACATAGGAAAAAAAAAAAACCCAAGAAAACAAAGAGGACCGGGCCAGAACGAACCAGGCCCCCACTAGCCCTATCTTGGCCCTCGGGCCATAGTTTGTAGCTTAGGCCCTAATTTTTTAAGACCGTGCTAACTGAGCCGGGCCCATTGCCAGACCTACCCAACATGCAGTTGGGAGCGGTCAAGCAAAATTTAGAAATTTGCCACATATATGGATGAAGGAATCTCTTTGGACACCATTTCAAAATACAACTAACTACAGACATTAAAATATGGCAAAAGTTTTGGCTCATTTTTTGTGTGATAAAGCATGGTTTGGAGCAATTGGGATGGCATTTGATTGAAGGTAAACTCATTAAGGAAAACTCTAAAGGATCGACGTATATTGCATATTGCCATTCCATATTCCATTTGGTGTTACAAAAGGACAAGCAAAGACCAAAGGTGAAAAGAAAGAAACTAATTAAAAAAAAAAGGAAATAAAATTTATGTCAGAGATATCTGAACTCTGACGCAATCTTAAGATGGAGCTCTAAGTCAGCAATATGGACTACACCACTAACTTAGTGCATGTGAGCAAAGAGACCGCTAAAAACACACAAATATGAACACTACACCACATTGAAATCGTAACATTAATGGAAATAAAGTTCTTACAAGATATTGGTTTTGGGTTCTCAGCAGTAAGGCTCTTTCAGCCGAGTAGAACTGGATATTTACAGGAGATCCAAGCAGTTTATGGTCACGGTCCAGCTCAGTAGATCTGCTAGGGTATCAAGGGGTGGGAAAGGAGAAGTTTTTCTTTGCCTAGGCTTTAGGTTTAGGAAAGTGGATGAGTAGAGTCAATTTCTAAGCTAAATGCATGGTATGGATCTGATTTCTAGCAAATTTAGTTTGGGGTCTAGCTCGTTTTAGTCCACTGTAAGTCCTGGGACCTTTCTTCAGGGAGTCAGCCAACCCTAGAAGATGCATCCTTATCAGTGTCCCAGGTTATAAATCTAGATATGAATGACATAATCTAAAGTTCTAAACTAGCGGGGCGATGAGACTTAAGATAAAGTTGAAGACTAGGATATCTCATTGTCCTTGTCTTGAAGAGTTCCACCGGATTGGCGCCGGTGACCTAGTTTGCAGATGGAAGAAAATAACACCAAACAAGATTCCTAGATACCACCTAGAATACAGGGAGGAAGCCACCAAATGATGCCTTTAAGCTTAATTTTAATGGTAACTGACTTGGGTTTTCCAAGACCACCAGGTACTACAGAATCACATCAGTCAAAAGTTTAAAACAGCTACAGCCACCAAACCATCAAAGCCACAGGTATGTGAGCTGGAAAATGATATTAGAAGCAATACCACAAAACACAGACACCTCTGCCAAACCTCCTCCTCCATTTTCTCCACCCTGACCCATGCACTTAATTCAACCAGCCATTTGATGAGCCAATTATTGCTATGTTTATATCCATAAGTGTTGCGAACTGGAGCAGGTGCAGTAGCCAGAGCGGAATGGGAGCCTGAGGTCAACCAATGGGTGAAGCTTCCTAACTTGGGAGCACCTCGGAGCGATATAAGGCTTAGGCTTTTTGAAAACAAAGTAAAGCTTCACATCAGATCCTCGTCTAAAAAGCACTTTGGGCATCGGAAATCTCCATGATAGGAAAAAAGCACCGGATTAATTGGTTAGCGTTTGACGATTTGCGATGCCACGTCCTAGGCTCAATTCCTACCAAGGCAGGGGCCCTCTTCCCACTGACTCACCTAAAAAAAAAAATCTCTATGATGGCTCTAAAATCAATTTCCAGCACCTATGAAATTTGAAGCTCAAAAAATTAATACAAATGTTGCGGATCCATGAACACTTATTTTTAGGACAAAATGGATGGTCTAAATAATGTGATGCAATAAACATTATTTTTAGAAATTGAATATTCATTTTTTTCATAACCATAATGGTCAAGGCCGAGATGACGATTCAAAGGTTTTCCCATGCCAAAACTACAACTTTCGGTGAGTTTTGAGGTCAGGCTTTACTTATTTTTATAGGACGGCAGCCCTATCAAACATTTTCCTTAAAAAGATTGAGAAATGTACACTCCACTTTGTAGTATTATCTAGCATGCACAAGAAGAACTCTATAGTCTGAAAATCCCTTAAAATTTTGAGAACAAAATGAGATTGAAGAAGCGAAATCTGGAATGATCTTCTTGTGGTGGTCGTTGGCTAGAAATTTGACACAAAAGTAAAACATAGAACTAGGGTTCAAAATTTAAAAACTTTTGAAACTTCCCCAACAATCATGATCCCTTCGAATCACGATTGTGCTCCATTTTCAGTGGTGTTGTGATCCCCTTCCAAAGCAATCTACATCTCTTTTCGTCAGGGATCATTATAAGATAGCGATCAAGCTCCCTCAATGGGAGAAGTGAGCTCTACTCGGGCTTCAGCTCTAGGTTCGTCAAAGTGAGATTCCTAGGCCCGATCTCCACATTCTGACCAAGCTCCCCCAACTATGTTTATATCACAAATGGAAAAAGAAAAGCTTACAAAAAGCCATGCATGTCGTACAAGAAAATATTTATTACAGTTTCTCTGTTCTTCTTTACTTTGGAATTTGGACAGACTAGTTAAACCAAACAGCCTGAATGGCCCCATCCAGCAGTTTGAATCTGGAAGAGCCATGGATATGCAAATGGTCTGGTTCTGCTCAAATGCAGGGGACATCTAGTCTAACATTTTATGAAACTTCAAAAATCAATTAGAATCTATTAAATGGAACTTAAAAGTACGGGAAAAGTATGCCATAGTAGAGTTGACTGTGGTATATGGTACTCCAAGGCTATCCGCACCTTTATTTACCTCCGATGAATGGCCCACAAGGACATACAATTGGACATTGCATAGACAGAAAATAGATGTTGAATGTAGCATGAAGCAATGGCCCTTGGTATGGTAATTTATAAAAGAGACTCATAACTGATAGTAAGAAAATATATAGGAACTTATGACGACATTGAGGGTATGACCCTTAATAGAACAAAATGACAGATGGGAGGAAATGTGTCCAAGAGGCTAGGTATCACACTGGGTTTTAATGGTGCATGATGCAGCAAATTTAAAAAGTTCAAAAGAAAAGTAGGTCATAAGACTCAAAACTATTGAATGTAATCACGTGTGAGAACACCATTAATATTTTATTGTATGCAATTCGATGTCCACAGGACAACTGCACCTAAAGGGCCAAATGCATCATATAATGCTCACAAAACAAAAAAAAAAGGTGTCCACCTTCTGTTTTGAGAACACATGATGTAGACAATTTGTAGTTCCTGGTTAATGTCCATCACCTGAACTAATAAGTTCATCCCCACCATCCTCTCTTGAGAAAGGACAGTGGATTGCTCCATCAGTATGGCAAATCACGTGGACGTGTAGTGGTCTGCTTTCCAACAAGAAATTCCCAAAACGTGAAAAGGATGACCACTGCAAATAATTGAAAGTGGTAGGAAACAGAAAAAAATAAAAAAGACAACAAAACGAAGAGGTAGTGTCACGCATTATATATCCATATTATAATGAGAGAATTGAGTAGGATAATCAATATAAAACCAGTTCCTTACATCAGATACTGCAAACATAGACCCATATTATATCATCATTTCCCATGTCAATAAGCTCAACCTTACTAAGCAAACCATGGACCTCAAACTACGTCTAATTGATGAAATTCCCAACACGAGAAAACATCGAGAGAATATGGCAAATGATGACTCAGAGATCCACCAGCTAACCCGCATCCCATTGGAGAAGAACCCAAATTGAAAATGTGGTTGCAGAGCAACCAGTGTGAAAGAAATCCTATCCATGTCTAAGAGCAGTATAACTGACCTTAGTGGCCCTTCTACAGAACTTCCCTGTTGAAAATCCAGCTAAAAGGAACTGTTGCGACTTGCTTTGCCAGACTTTGGGCTTTCTCTTCCAACCTCCGAAACCTTGGAGCCAAGCCACACACAAAATCTTGGGCCTTCTGCCCCTCCCCAGAAAGACCCGTTAGCTTCTCAACATTCCATCGATCAACTAGGAATTCAAGGATATCTGTATAATTCTTAGCTGTATAAACCTCCAACTTCTGAGAAACAGCCGAGAAATGCTCAAAGAGGTTGTCATCTTGCCCATCATACATCAAACGACCAGGCATGGATATCTTCTTCTTCATCATGTCAGCAAATGCCAAGATCGTGTCATCAGGGTCAATCTCAAAGAGCTTCTCCACGATCTTGGTGTAGGCTGTCTCATGGCGCTTTTCATCAGCAGCAATGGTTCCACAGATCTGAGCGAGTTTCAGTTCCCCATACTCCTTTACATGCCTTGCAGTGTTACCATGTGACACAAAGGTCGCCCTCTCCTGGAAAGATGTGTAAATAAAGCCAAGATAGGGGCTGTTCTCCGCATGTGGATCCTAGAACGATGGGAGAAATATGAAAATCAAAGAGGCGTGATGAATGGGATAAAGAGGACCAATATGAAATGGAAGAATGAAAATCAAAGGGAGAGAGGAAACACGAGATTCAACATAAGATCCGTTTTCGTCAAAAATCCAAATTCTTCTAGAAACAAGTTTTACCAAATTATCCATGGGGAAGTATACCATAAAACAAGATCCCTAAGGAATATTACAAGTCTCTAACCACAGAAAATTAAGGTCATCCAATCTGATGAAATGCTGGATGCTGGTGGAGAGGGAAAAACCTCCCTGATGGATCCCAGCCTCTCCAGCACCGCCAAACGGTGCACCCGACAGTGATGATTGAAGACCCAATGGATAACAGTTTCCATACTTGAGTGTTAGAATAACTTTCTCAATATTAATTCTATTCAATTTTTTACCAAAATACAGTGAATCTCATTCTCATTTAGTTTACTTCTGAAATAAAAATTTCTGAATAACTTTTACTTTGATTCCAAATAATTCTCAGCTAAATGGACAAATTAACACCTGAAGCTTAGACAAAATTAAATTTCAGAAGGAAAATTGTTATATAGGATAACATGCCTATATTGTAACGTAAGCCACTTTGGAAAGTAGAGGTCTAGTGGGTCTCTTTGGCACACATAGATCGCATTTAGGCAATCAAAATTAAAAAAGAAAAAAAATATAAATTTGCACAACAAGAATGGGGAAAATCAGTCCGTTATTTTCAATGACCATAGGCATTCCATTTTGAGAATGGTGGATCAGGCCTTCAAGAACTCAAAATCTTTTTCTTTTTTTCTTTTTCTAAATTGTTTTAAAACCAAATATGTGAAAATTTTCAGCCAAATAATTCCCTCAGGTTCTAGAGCTCAGCTTACATTGTAGCTACAAACCTGTTGGCTTATAGAAGTGATTTGCACTTCAAAAATATAGCACTTTCTTTTGTTAATAATGCAAAATTATGTTTGTTTGGACTGATACACATACATTCAATACACAATAAGGAGAGGTAAAAACAAGTCCCTACCACTACGCTACATGGCCAAACCCCACTTAATGAAAATTTCTGGTTACCATCAAAGAAAGGAAAATGAAAAGGAAGAAAACCAATGAAATCCAAAGACTGAAGCTTGGTTTGAAGGGCATCAACAGTATTAGGACATAGAGAACAACCAAAATAATAATTCGCCAAAATTCTCAGCAAAGAAAGTTTGACATAGCAATACCCAACGCAATTTAACATTTACCAAAGAAGAATTAACAAAAACCACGGGACCACCATTCGACATTTCAAGCTTATTGGTTTGGAAATTCAACAAATGAATAAAATAAACTGATTTGATCCAAATCAAAGGGCCTAACTTCCATAGAAGCAACAAAGCAGGATCATTTGCTTAAAGCTTAGACAATATGACTTTTTTCCCCATGCATGCTGCGATCCTTGGATGTGGTGAGAATTTGCTTGTATTTACAAACTATTAAACTCTGGACCTTATATTAAGGAGAAACTTAAAATTAAAACAATAAAACTAAAACTAAAAATGGCAAACATCCGTAAGAAATAGAACAAGGTTAACTCGAAAAACTATAGGCAATATCTCCTGCAGATACTGGAAAAATAATAAAATGTCTACTTTTAAGAACTGTTTCAAGAAATTACAGTCCATATTATCAAAGGAATACCGATAACTAAATGATCAGTTAGAAATCAAGAGGGGAATACAGAAACCAAGAGACAACCATGAAGAAAACATATACAAGTTATGCTGTTGCTAAGTCAACAACCAGATGTTTTCATCAGATGCTCATGAAGCAATTCATGCATTTTTCTGTTTTCTAAAAATGAATGAGAAAACAAAACAAACCAAAATAAATTCTATATAATAAGTATCTGCTCCATGTTTCAAGGACCATTTGAGAAACAAATACTCAAAATTGCAGTTTTGAGCTCTTAGGTATCAACGGTGAGCTAATGAGATCCAAACCCATACTTCAAGCAATCAACAAAACAAAAAGACAGGCAAAATAAAATCTTAATGTATGCAGTAATGACTTTGAAGCTCACCATTCCTGATCCAATAAGATACTGAATCGTCTTTTCGATCTGCCTCATATCCACTCTCCCACATAAGTAGAGGTACTTGTTTAGAAGGTCACCATGCCTGTTCTCCTCAGCAGTCCAGGCCCTGTTCCAAACTGCCCAAGAAGTTGGGCTTGCCCCAGTTTCATCACGAACACCATCAAGGGTATTAAGCATTGTCTGATAGGTGGGCAAAGCTTCCTCAGTGATCATTTCTCCAACCAAGCAAACAAAGTGATCATCTGGGATTTCCTCAGCCCGCTTCCTTAGTTCCCTCACTTCATCGAGAAAACCCTCAGAAGTAGGGTCAGGCAAGAAATCCTGAGGCTGCCATGACTTCTCTACGGCTTTCAGGTGGACCAAGATATTGTGCTCTGCCCAGTCCTCCAAGGATTTAAAGATCTCAATTTTTTGGGGAGGCATCGAATGGGTTACTTGAACATGCACTTCTCGAGGGCTGACGTACTTCCTAAGACTGTCAATCTCCCTTCACAAAAAGAAGCTCATATTATCATCAAACAGCTCAAATGGCCTACACAAAATTTTTTAGAAAACAAGTTTTTATTTGATTCGTCTATATATTATCCATGAACTTTAAACACTTACAAAAAGAATAATGAACAAAACAAATACCAATATACCTAGAAAAACAAACCAGATCGTTATCAATCAAAAATCCCGATTGAATTCGATTTATCTTCAAACAAAACTAATTACTTAAATGGTTTGTACTCCATATGTTCTTGAAAATAATAATCATCTCAGAGAAGATTACAAAATAAATACGTAAAACACCCGCTTATGCATATTCTTACATCCAATTAGAAATTATGTGAATCAGAAATTCAGAGTCAAAAAGTAAAATAAAATTAAACTGCACATAATCAATTATCAGAAAGAATAAACCTCAACATATTCTCATACAAAATAGAGGCTTAAATATAACCCATAAACCATCATTTTGAACGGAAAAACATTTGAAGGAGACTAAATGAACAAGGTATGTTTTCTCAGTAGACTATATTCAAACCCTTAGTCCATATAACACCGCTCTTCGCAATAAAATATATTAAAGCATTAATTACCAAAGGCACACCAGGAGAAAAAGTTCCTCAAAATCTTACATGAAAAACCACCAAAAACAACTTGCATGCCTGAGTATCTCAAAAGAGAAATACAAAGAAAAACAAAACCCATACTTCCTCAAATTATGTCAATACAAATTTGGGAAGTTCATATAGCATCACTTCCCCAAAAAATAAAAATCCAAAAATAATTGAATGTTTACACAATATTGAGTCCCAACAAATATTGCCTATACACCATTACTTCTCAGAGGGGTAGAGAGAGATTGTGTGTCCAGACAAACTCAAAGATTTAAAGCCACAACTATCAAATGCATGCATGGCAAAATCGAGAAATAAAAAATGATCCCCATCACAAATCCTTCCATAAAATCAACATCTGATCGAAATTGTACAGCAATGAGAGAGAAATCCTCGCATCAGCATGATGAGGAACAATATTAACAATGAGATCAATGAATCAAAAGCGATAAAAAAACACGAAGGCCTTATACACATTGATTCCAACTCAAAACTTCCCCAATAAGTAAATCAGAACTCCAACAGATAGAAGAAAAGAAATGGGAGAACCCAATAAAAGCTCAGATAACCCATAAACAAAAAAATTTAAACCAAAATCTCAGAGAAACAACCAGAAAAGGTTAAGAGCGAGAAAAACAAAAACCCAAAGCTCCACTAGGGCTTCCTTTTCCAGCTACCAAGAAACAAGATGCAAAAAGTAATTTTATGCAGTCGAAGTAGGCATTGATGTGGCCCTTGAACTCTAATGTTTTTCTCTCCAAATTGAAAGCGATACGTCGCTCCTTGTAAATGCTATTCAAGGGCGCTTCAGGACTCCGTGGGCATTTCACAGAGTAGCAGCCAACTGCCGTCTCCATGGGCATTTCACAGAGTAGCAGCCAACTGCCGTCTCACAAAGCAATTCCCGCATCTACTGCAAGACCGAAGTGCATCTTCAAATACCCCTAAAACATATTTTTATATTTAATTAGAAAATTTAAAGCTATAAAAATAGTTTCCACGGAGCATATCATATCCATGAAAACTTAAAAATCCTGAAAACTGACGGTTGAAAAGAAGTCCATTTTTTTCTCTTTATTCGTGTACGTTGATATCGACATGATCAATTTGAAAATATTTAAGCATCAAATAACCTCTATTAATAAAATTTTTGAGGTCGGCTCTAACTTAATTATTTAGAAGGTCCTGTAAACTTTTCCTTGGACATTATAGATACCCTAAAATCGACATCTTACCGTTCAATATTTTTTATCATACTCTAGACCAACACTGTTTTGTTATGTTCACCTCTAGCAGTCAAATAGTCAACAATATGGACCTTATTTTTTTCCACCTCTACATGGTTGAAAGTCTGCTCTTTTTTTCTCTCTCTACCCACCACATCTCTTGTTACTCTCTCTCTTTTCTCGTTCTTCCGCCAAAGGTTTCTATATTTTCGTTATGGTTACCATCTAGGTGTCTGATTTTAATCGAGAGAACTATTTACTGTTTGAATTTAGATTCAACGTCTTAAAGTATTTTATTTTTAATTTTTTAAATAAATTGTATAAATATGAAATTTGGTACGTGTCATCTTTTCAGTGAAATGTACCTATAAAAAAATATTAAAAATAATTTTTCGATAAAATATAATGATCAAAATACCCCTTAAAACTTTTAAAGATATTTAGGTCATTTATTTTATTGAAAATATTTTTTTATATTTTTCAATAATACAAGTTTGATAGAGGATTAGACGTTCAAAATTTGATGTCAAAATAGTTTATAGAAAAAAATTAAAAATAAAATAGTACAGTGACATAACATTATGATTAAGGCAATCTTAACCCTCCATTCAGAATGGAAGGGTTGAATAAGGGGCAGCTCACTTTTATGCTGTGAGAGAAGCATAGTTCTCTAACTTTTTCTCTCTAACCAGAAAGCATCCAGCAACTTTAATAGAGCTCAAGGCAAATTAACATAAAAGCCAGGGGAAGGAAACAACACTTGGAAAACCCAACACCAAGAATCCAGGAGGGGCTTCACCTGAAGCTGAACAATACAAGAATAGAGAGAAGAAGGAGGTCTGAGAGAAGAAGTTTTTAAACATCAAAACAATGGTTCCAGCACCAGCCGAGCTTAACTCTTCTAGTCTCTACGAGAGAGAAAAGACATTAGAAAATCAGTCTAAAAAAAAATCCATGATCAAAACTAGTAGGCACTCTGCTATTTCATCGCAGGAAAACCAGGATTCCGGTGATTGAATTGAGGCTCCGATGGTTGGTCGAATAAAGGGAGGGAAAGGGCCGGTAGAGAGAGTTTAAGGTGTCATATAAAAAGTATTGGGGTAGTATGTCTAGAAAGTTGATTTTGGGTATCTATAATTTTTTTTTCTTTTAAAGTTACAAAACCCTCTAATTGAAATTTTTTTTTTTTTTGAATCTCAGAAATAATGCATATTACAACGTATTATCTAACCGTCTATCTTCCAAATTTTCATACGTTTACAAATCTACTTGATTCTAACCATTTTTGGAGTCTAAAATTTTATAAAAATGATTTTACGTACAGACCTTGAAAAAAATAATTTAAAATACGAAATGCTCTTGAAAATTACAAAGAATGTCAGTTAACCCATCTTTTTTATATTCTTCTAAAAGTATCCCTCAGTCTTTAGACATCATCGGATCTCGGACTGAATTTTAATTTGGACACGGTTTCTATGAGTCCATATAGAAATGAGTCACCTCTTAAAAATCTATTTTTGAGATGGATTTTTTGACTTAATTTTTAAGGATATGTAATCTCTAACATAGAGATCATGAAAAAAGTAAATACATTTTGAAAATTAGAACTAATAATTCTATTAAAAAAAAGGTCGACTAACCTTTTTTGTAATTTTTACTTATAAACTTAGCATTTCATATTTTAGAAAAAAACTTTTGGGCCTGTATGTAAATCGCTTATATAATCAGATGTGAAAATAGATTTTCAAATAATCCAAGAATTTTTTACACCAAAAATATAGTTATGATAAATTTTGGAGGTGTCATAATTTTAAAATCAATTTTCAATATTGACAATAAAATTTGAAGCTCAAAAAATGACACAGAGTGAACACTTTTTTCTTTAGGGCAAAATGGACTGTCTAAATAATTTGTTACATAAACGTTATTTTTAAAGCTTGAAATCTTGATTTTTTTTATAACTATAACGTTCAAGCCGAGAGGACGGTCTAGATAATTTGTTACAATATACAATAATTTTTAGAATTTGAAATCCTAATTTTTTTTTTATAACTATAATATTCAAGCCGATCCATGTAAAAGTTTTTTAATACTTGAACTACAATTTTCGAAGAAATTATAAGCCCTATCAAACCATTTTCCTCTAGTTTAGCTAAGGAAAAACGGGTAGGGCCTACCCCCGACACACTTACCAAAACAAAAAAGTTAAACACAATAGGAGGAGAAGAAAGAAGGCTCACGTTGCCTTTCTTGAAAGGGTGGCGGTCACGAAGAAGCTAGCAGAACCAGGCCTTGAGCGCTGAAACCCTAGACTTCGGAAAGAGCATTGTAAAGGAAGCTTCAAAGCCATCTCTTCCTAAATGCACAAATAATCACAGAATCTAGAGAGAGAATATTTAGAGAGAGAGAGAAGAGATAAAATGGAGAGAAGGAAATAGCAGGAATAAGGAGCAGAGCTTTAGAACCGAGTATATATAAAGGCTGGACAGAGATAGAAATTTTAGAGGTAGAGAAAGACGCCTGGGAAATATTTTAGAGAGAGAAAGGTCGGTGGGAGAGAGAGAAATAAGTGGTTATGGTTACGACGCTAATGCATGAAATGGTGGTTTGAGCCATAGGAGTGGACCTCTCTCTCTATCACTCTCTCTCGTTAGATGCAACAAGGACGTCACCATAGTTAGATTTTTTAAAAAAATCTTTAATTTTTAGAAATTTGTTACAAACTTTAAGTTTTTCAAAAAAATTCAAAATAAATTTATATTTTATATTTTGAAAAATTGTTTCATGCGACGGGGATCGCATTTCTACATTTGCAGTCCTCGAGGTATAAAGCATCAATGCTAAAGATAGATGCAAATAGGTGGTCTATCTAAAGACAATTGAAACTAACGGTCCAATTTTTTTCTTAATAGAATTATTATTTATAATTTTTAAAATTTATTTATTCATATTCATGATCTCCATGTTAGAGATTACATGTCCTTAAAAAATTAGGTCTAAAAATCCATCTCAAAACTAGATTTTTAAGAGGGGACTCATTTCTACATGGACTTGTAGAAACCATGTCCTTATTTTTTTTCAAAATTTTTTTTCAAAAAAACTTCTTCCCAATAAATTAATTTCTTCATTTGATTTAATATTATTGAATTTTGGTTTAAAAATAAGCATATTAGTAGTGGGAGTAAATTAAGAATCTCGATTTAACAAAAAAATTCCCGGGTTTAAAAAAATGAATCGGCGACTTGAACCGACCACCAAAAAATTATCGGATCGGCGATCCAGATCAGAGAATCGGTCTAATCAGCAGGTTTTGGACCAAATTTTTTTTCAAAAAATCATTAAATTTTTTCAAAAATCTAGTTTCTTATATTTTCAAAGAAATTTGAAGTATTGCATTGTAGATTTTTACTAATATATAAATAATGTTTCATGCCTTAGCATTTGTTGACTACTACATTGATTTTATAGTCAAAATAAATATAACTCGTTACAATAAAAATGGATCACTCTAACTCAATTTTTTTTTTGTAGTTTTATGGTCCTTATTATCAATTGCGTTCGTAAAAATATAGGATCTTGCCTCCTCAATTCCTATGATAAAGAAAAAAAATTTATAGATGAGATAAGCTTTCAACATTTTCACGACCAAGAAATAAATCACTTGATTATAAGTAAATAAAAAAAGATATACAAAACACGATATATATCAAACCAAAAAAATAAAACATTTATATACCCTTGTTTTAATAAAACACTAAATATATTCCACTACTACCTTATATATTCAATAGCTATTGTACTCATATCATAGTTTTCCCTTACCAAAAAATAAAACGAAAAAGAAAAGACAGCGAGGCAGAAGAGAAAGGAACCTCGTTCGGCATCAGAGAGTTCGAAAGGCCGCGAAGCACACGTGGAGGTGGTTGAAGGTCATGTATTCAGTTTTGAAAGTGGGAAATGAGGCACGTGCGTTGAGAAATTGATGATTATAGATGATAGAAAGTAGGAGAGTGGGGCACGTGGAGGGGTTGGGAAGTGTCTCAAACATTTGTAGGAAAACAGGCAAAGGAGAACATTTTTCAAATGGAAAATATTCTATTATTTTTTATTTTTAACTTTTATATATCATTATTAGATTTAAAAGTTGAAAATATTAATTGTAAACAAAAAAGACTCCAATTTTTTCTATCTTCTAACTTTTTAAACCTTTTTAATAATGTATTATTGACCTCAACAAATTATGAAATAATTCTATCTCTCTCTTTTTTAAAACTTCATCTCTCTCACATGTCGTCTCTCTCTCTCAAAATTTCATCTCTCTTTAAAACTCAAACTCCATCTCTCTCTCTCACACATCATCGTCTCTCTTTCAAAACTTTCTCTCTCCTTAAAACTCAAACTTCATCTCTCTCTCTCTCTAAATCTCCCTTTCTCTCTAAAACCCAAACTCCACCTCTCTTTTTAAAACTCCATATCTCTCTCGCACATAAAAAGGCATGTTTGTATTCGAGCTCAAGTTAAACCCCTTGGTTGGTAAACTCATTGAGAGAGAGAGAAAGATGGAGTTTTAAAGAGAGAGAGATAGAGTTTGAATAGGTGTTATTTTAGTATTTGTTTGGGTAAAAAATTTATGGTAAAAAAAATCCAGGGGGTTGTAAGATAGGAAAGATGGAAACTTTTTGCTTACAAGTAATATTTTTAATTCTTG